TACTGTACTGCTTTGTTCATAATTAATCTTTGCTTTTTAATACTTTTGTGTTGTGTTGCATTAAGAACCGGATAAAATTGAAATTTTGTAAACATTTGTATTAAGCTTTTACATTAGGATGGAACGAATCAAGTGACTTTTTATGTTAGCACGAGATTTTCTTGTATCAGTCGCGACCTGTCTGTATTATAAATGCCATAGTTTATTGTATAATATTACTATATATTACTATATTATATATTTAAAATATCATATAACTATAGAGGCAATACATGCAATGTGGGCTAGCAGATGATACAGATATTTATTGTCGACACATATTTTATAAGAGGAGCCCCATGGTTTTACAGGATATGCACTTTAGGTGCCTCCACAGGGGCCGTTTCCACTTTAACCCACCGAGTTTTCAGTACCTCAGCAATATTCAATAGGTTGTTGGACTTTAAACCGAACCCCCCCACACCATTAGCATACAAGAGGTGAATTCACGCAAGTGATATTCATACAATTTTGCGAAAGATTTTTTTACTGACAGTCAAAAATGTGTTTGTCAATGAATTCGAAACAATCAGAACCCAAATGGGGCTGCTGACGAGGCTAGGTCAAAATTGCAATTTATTGTGATTCTGAAAGCAGGCTTTTGGTGTGCATGGAAAAGAGAAACTTATTAAAATTGCGAAACATTCTCTTTAATTTTTACTGAAATGACTCGCATTTATTTCATCAAAAAACTACTTCAAACCCTCTTCCTTCTCAGACCGGACATCACATCACCATTTCGTCTGCAATAATAATAAGTGAGGTAATCTTCTGAAATTCTTGCTCAGAATGCATAATGTTTCCGTAAGATATAAATGTGGTTGGAATCTCTTGATTTCGTAATCCTCATATCCATTTTTCTAAGCTCGCTGGGGGTGAGGCCGCGGCCAAAACGCCAAGTTGGAGCGACATTTGCTGAGGCATTGCTCGAATACTCGTGAGCGCACTCATTCTCCACTCGTCAAAAAGTCAATCCAAACTGGTATTTATTGACAATAAATATCTGTTTCTTATATGCTCCCAATTGGTATTTGTGACGACTACAATTCTTTACTGGCACTCAGTGGCCAGTGTTGATTCTTATCTGACGTTAATTTGTAAATGGTCTCTCGGAGAACTGATATCTTTTAAGTAGTACGAACCGGCAGTCGTGGAGAATGTCAGAAATTGTCTGATGTCACCACTTGACTTGACCCAGATCACTACAGAATCGGCCAAACAGAATTGTCCCAAGACTAATTAGCGTCCGGATTGGTTCAGCGGAGGAGCTATCTCTCAAACTTGCTGGAACAAGTAGAGCAACAAAGAGCCATCGAGGAGTTGAAGATGGAATGGTATCAGACGGTACATGTGCCAAAATGGGCTCAAAAGAGTTGTATTCAAATAAAATCAGCTTTGAGGCTTCCAGTTCTTCTTGAAGAGGGGCTCCAGTGCGATCTGTACTGACGGAAACGCGTATTCATCAGAAAATGAGACTTTACGCGTCAGACTGGCGAGTGGACGCCGACTTATTTCTGGTAGTGCTGGATGAAAAGATTGGAAACAACGCCAGATGACGCAATAAAGACTTAGGGCTTCAAGGTCTCTTTGAATTCGATATTAATTTGCAAAAATAAGACCAAACCGAGTTGGGAGGGGGCTGAACCCAGAAAGATGAGTGTTTTCCGGCGCTGGGGTCTGGAATCGAGTGGAGACTTAGAGAAATTGGGGCTTGATTTGATGTGTGGGATTTGCTTCTTCATGGAGGATTGATGAAACTGTTGAAGATGAGTCCGTTCTTAACAACCTTTCCTCGATGCGTCTGACGACAGTCGGAAAGATGAGTCTTTGTTAAAGAGGAGGCTGACAAGCGGAAACAGGCAGTAGATAAATCCATTTGAGGTGACACAATTAGACAACTCTATGCTTATCATAAACCAAATTATAAAATATGATATTTATGATAATCCCTTTAAAAAGGTTATCCCATTTTGTGTCTATAAACCATACATGTCATATGTATTTTGATGCGAAATAAGCCAAAATTTGGCTGCTACTCTTTTGTGCCATGAAATTAAGTTGAAACTAATACAAAAATGAGGTTGCTGAAATTCCCAAATAATTTTGCAATACTAGTTAACAAATATTATTTTTTCCAATTAAGTATTGCTTTCGTGACTACCAGTAAATCAGTAATATGAGATGTATTCACCCAATTTCGTTTGAGCTGATGAAGAACTGGTAGAAGAAGAATTTTCCCACTTTGTAGGAAAATTCTTCTTCTACCAGTCCTTCATCACCTTAAACGAAATTGGGTAAATACATATCATACTACTGATTTACTGGTAGTCTCGAAACATTACTTAATGTTTTGTTAAAGCCAGAGCAAATTAATCATAAATGTGAATAATAAAATAGAAATTTTAATTTATCCAAATAAAAATTAATATTTAAACGAAATTGGGTGAATACAACAAATAATATACAGGAATTTTAGGAGATATTTTCTCGAAAATTGTGATCAAATTTTCACCAAAATCACTTAAAGTCAACATTTATTTATTAAGGCCTCCACTTGATGGAATTACATCAGGACAGTTTATAAAGTGTGATTATTTAAAAATAAAATGTAGGATTTTGATTTATTGAAATAAAACTGGCACTGCATTTGCCATCGTCAGTTAAAAAATTATTCCTCAAGTAGAATTTTTGGCTGCTAATACAATCATATCAGTTCTCATTTTATTGACGGCATTTGTCATATTCCAATTTTTGAAAGAAGTTGATTAAATTGGTATATCGCACCTAATGGCCTAACGTCCAACGTTCTGCGAAGCGTCCAAAGCTCGATTTACAAAGAATGTGAATTAGATGGTTTGACATAGCTATCACAATTCAGTCGGGTTGTCATGGCAATCACTAGAAACGGGCCAGTCCCGGTGTCTTCTGCCAAAGCAGTCCTGACACTTTCCATATTCGTCGTCGGCCTCGTCTGTGAACTTTGCCATTCATAACGCCAAGATAGCTTTTGTCAAAAGAGGCAAATTGAGTCCATCATTTGACCAAGTTTCTACTAAACGCATCTGTCCAGGAACTTTTTCGCTGTTTACACACAGACGCTTGATTTAGACGTCTCTATTTCGTTGATCTTGCTGAAATCTGATTTCCTCCAAGTTCGATTCAGTGAAAAGTAAACTATTAGTAGTTCTGCATTCGTCCCACCTCTTCATCAGATCTCTCTCTCTCTCTCTCTTTGAACAAGGATATGTACGTTGTTCTAAATTGTGTGTTGTCTTTAGTTTCCCTACATGAGGATCGTTTTTCCGTTTCCCTCCAGTTAAACTCTTTTCCTGCCCAACCCATGCGTCCCACCATTTCTATTCTCCTTTTATAATCATATTTTTACAGTTTTTGTCTGCCATTTATACGTATCCTTGATTGTATTCCCGTTCTCCAACATGCTTCTGCTCACAGTCGCAGCAGTCTGGCCAACAAACTCTCGAACAATCCAATTTTTCCCTCTTTTAGTGCAACTTTGCAGGCATGTGAAGAGTGCTGCCTTTTCCGTCGTCGTCGTCGGAACACACGGTTTTCATAATCCTGCACATTATGTCTATTTACTTTGCGGGAGGGTAGGCATATCTACTCTAAAGACTACTTATAAACGAAAATTTCCAATTTTAGGCATCTTCTTTTTCCAGTCGTGATTTTTTAATCATAAATCTCCTCTTGCTATTTGCTCTTAACGAGCCGAATTTTGCTCCGTCTCATTTCTACAAAGTATATGTTGCCAAGGAGCGTCTGTATCATTTCGTCTCATTCACATTCTCAGAACTACATGTAAATTTGTCGCGGGTTTCTGGAAATATTGCTACTAAGTCCGTAGATGAGGATGATCCTTGCGTCCCACAGCTTGAGGAATAGTCGTTTCTTGAGCCATCAATCGATCGGGAAATGTAATTGCCTCAAATTAATAAGTATTTAGGATTAGGAGAATAAAAAAGTAGCGATCGCGTCATATCATATCGTTTCTCTATTATACTTTAGTCAAATAACTCTTTATGAAATCACATTTACCAGAAATTGTATGATTTTTTAGAAATCAATTCTATCCTTCTTTGTAATACGCATAACAAGCAATTTAAGAGCAAGTTAAATTAAACTCATAATGACAGTATATTCCGAGCTATTCCATAATATAGGCAAATAAGCTGATATAATATTTATTATTTTGTGTAAAATAATGAGATAAAGGTGTTAATGGTAATAGAGAAGATAATTATCCACATGGGCTTATGATTTATCGGTTTAAAAGCAGGCATTTAATAAAAAATATTTTGCTGAAGTTTAAATGCATAAGGCAAGATAGGATGGGCGAGACAAAGTTAAAAAAGAGTTATAAAGAGGTGTTGAGAAGGGAATATATGATATTGAGAGGAATAGAGAGAAAAGGAAAATGCGATAAAAGCTGAAAGGAATGAAGTAAATGAAAAAATAGATGTTGGACATAAAAGTAAAGATGATATGATAGGAGATGAGATGAGATGAGATGAGATGAGATGAGATGAGATGAGATGAGATGAGATGAGATGAG